AGAAAATACGATGGGTGAATGGAAATTGTTAGCTGGAAATTGCGGCTGATTTGAAAGCTAGATCGAGAATAAAATTGAAGTAGAGAACTGTAAGTCAAGCTGACAGAGATAAGTCAGATGAAAGCTCGCACTGAGATAATAGGCATCTTTAGAGTAACTAAAAGTGGAGATCGGAGAATCAGTTTGATCATGAGTGATTGGGTATGTTTTTGACCCCATTTTCTTCAGTATTACAGACTGATTAATTTAAAAATTAATTTGCTGTATAAAATTGCTGTATAAAATTAAATGTTATATTGATACAAAAAAATTATTTTAAAAAAATATTATATTAATTTTATAGTATAAAGTCAAGGTCATAATAAAAAAAACAATATAATAAAATAAAATTGTTATAACTTATAACTATATTACAATTGTTTTATCCTGTATCTACACTGTAAAAAACAAAATGTTAATGTAATTTAACTTGTAATCGTATATATATATTAACATTTTTGTGTTAATTTTAATTTTTTTGCATGCTTAGAAAGTCTACTATAAGTTAAAATTAACATATTATTTTTTACAATGTATCTATCAAAAATTACTTTTTGAAAAAATGAAATTATATCTGATTAACAATTAGTTGATTATTTATGAAATAATTATATTTGCAGTTTAAATTAATTAAATTTATTCATAAAAAAATAGAATGATTTCAGAAACTTTAAATTGATATTGTTGCACCATCTGTGCCAAAAATATGTGCATTACTTTAAGTACCTAACTACTTCGTTTAAATTACGAATATACTTTAATTTTAAATTGAAACCGCGCTATTTCGATATTTCGAGCGTTTCAAACCAGAAAATTTTTGCGACATGATTCAAATTACAGATCGATGCTGTAGCTGTTTCGTAGCAAGTAGTAGCAGTAGCAGTATGTAACAGTAGTATGTAGACGCGCACCCTGTGTCGACTATTACGCGGTGCCATGAGACTCCATTCTCGATAAACGCTTCGCGGCAAGCTGAGGAGAGGATTATATTCGAAAAAAAGGAATAGGTGTTAGCGAAAATAGATATGGCAGGTGGACATGTGAAGTAGATTCGAGGATGAACGCCAAGAGAGAGAACACAATTCGAGGTGTCGAGTACCAAAGGACCGATCGGAGGTGCCACGCTTCGCAGACGTCCCTAGTGCGCAAGGGCGTTGGCGCTGACGACGGACGGTACTGGAAGTGTCGGGGGTGTGGGGTCTGGGAGCTTTGGAGCTTCATGGCGGGGGTGAAAGCATGAGGGGGATGAACCGAGTAGGGGATGGTGTTGAGGAAACCGTGGGGTGGGACAACCGGAGACGACTGTGCTCCCAGTCGCTCAGTCCGCGCCCCGACACGCAATCACACGCACACTTCTTATTCAAACATGACGGAGTTTTCGTCGTTTCGCGCTCGAGTATTTTCAAATTAATTCGTAATTCCCGCTACCGCGTCTTAGATAGTTTCTGGAACTCTTCGTTATCTTCGTTATCTTCTTCGTTCACCTTCAATGATATCCTACATTCGGTGAGTATGATGGTTGATATATAGTGTCTGATCTATGTAAAGAAAATAATTCTTGTGATGCGTTTTGTGCGACAGCTGTTATACGTAGAAATTCAGGAAAAACTTTTTAACTTTTGTAGTACGTATTTCTTTGTTAAATCGTTGAAATGGTTGCGTTTATCTTCAATGTGGCAATCTAGAAATGTCGCGTTAGTGGGAAATTTATCATATAACGCGATGAAGCACACATAATCCGTTCCTCTTTCATCTTCGTCAAAATTTTGTGTGAACCTGTTACCTTGCAAATTACCCTTGTAATTACAATTGCCACACGTCGTCTCTGGTTTTCATCTTGCTAATGGAAAAGCCGGCGAGTTTACTTTATTCTCGAAAAAAGAAATGAAACCTCATGTTACCCACGTAGTGAAACTTTTC